AAAACCAGAGGAAAGGCAGAGGCTGAGTTGGAGTTTCCATTCCCGGGACTCAGTGCCAGGGCAAAGCCTCCCCGAGGATTTCTGGGCTCCTTCCAGCAACATCTGCGCAGGAAAAACACGGCAGGAATCGAGGATGACATCAGGAAAACACCAGGCTGAGAATTCCCTGCAGGAACAGGGGATGGAGCAGCTCTGCAGCCTCTGGAAAGGCTCAGGGGGGGTGAAAATCCCAAACAGTTCGGGCAAGCAGAGATTCCAACCAGGAAAAGGAGAAATGGGAAAGAAAGTTCAACTCCTGATGAGATCTTTGATGGGTTCCTGTCACAATTAAGGGCTCAGGAAGGGCAAAAATGGGGATTCCAGTGCTTGGGTCCAGTTCTTGTCACAGTTCTGAGCTCAAGAGAGGCAAAAATGGGGATTCCAGTGCTTGAATTCAGTTCTTGTAACAGTTCTGGGCTCAAGAGAGACAAAAACCACAGATTGCAGTGTTTGGGTCCAGTTCCTGTCACAGTTCTGGGCTCAGGAAAGGAAAAAATTGGGATTAAAGTGCTTGAATTCAGTTCCTGTCACAATTAAGGGCTCAGGAAATGCAAAAAAATGGGGATTTCAGTGTTTGATTCCAGTCCCTGTCACAGTTCTGGGCTGAGGAAAGGCAAAACCAGAAATTCTATAGTTTAAGTCCAGTTCTTGTCACAGTTATGGACCCCAGAGAGGTAAAAATGGGGATTCCAGTGTTTGAATTCTGTTCTTGTAACAGTTCTGGGCTCAAAAGAGACAAAAACCACAGATTGCAGTGTTTAGGTCCAGTTTCTGTCACAGTTCTGGGCTGAGGAAAGGTAAAAATGGGGATTACAGTGCTTGAATTCAGTGCCTGTCACAATTAAGGGCTCTGGAAAGGCAAAAACAGAAATTCCACAGTTTAAGTCCAGTTCTTGTCAGTTCTTGTTATGGACTCCAGAGAGGCAAAAATGGGGATTCCAATGTTTGAATTCAGTTCYTGTMACAGTTCTGGGCTTAAGAGAGACAAAAACCACAGATTGCAGTGTTTGGGTCCAGTTCCTATCACAGTTCTGGGCTCATGAGAGGCAAAAAATAAAACCAGATTTCACAGTTTAAGTCCAGTTCTTTATCCCAAACCACACCAGGATTCCACGAATGGATGGGATGGATGGGATTTAAATCCCTTTATCCCACAAATGGATGGGATGGATGGGATTTTAAAGTTATTTATCCCAAACCACTCCAGGATTCCACGAATGGATGGGATTTGGGGATTTTAAGGTTATTTTATCCCAAACCATGCCAGAATCCCATGAATGAATGGGATGGATGGGATTTTAAATCCCTTTATCCCAAACCATGACAGGATTCCACGAATGATGGGATGGATGGGATTTTAAAGTTATTTTATCCCAAATCACCCCAGGATTCCACGAATGGATGGGATTTTAAAGTTATTTTATCCCAAACCACTCCAGGATTCCATGAATGGATGGGATTTTTAAATCCCTTTATCCCAAACCATGCCAGGGTTCCACAAATGGATGGGATTTTAAGGTTATTTTATCCCAAACCACGCCAGGATTCCACGAATGGATGGGATTTGGGGATTTTAAAGTATTTTATCCCAAACCACTCCAGGATTCCACAAATGGACGGGATTTGGGGATTTTAAAGTATTTTATCCCAAACCATGCCAGAATTCCATGATCCAATGAGGAGGATGGGATTTTAAATCCCTTTTTTTCCCAAACCATGCCAGCATTCCACGAATGGATGGGATTTGAGGATTTTAAAGTTATTTTATCCCAAACCACGCCAGGATTCCACGATCTGTCGAGGAGGAGCCCTCCCAGGAGA